AATAAGTTTTTGTTTGTTGAGTGTATTTTGCGAGTTTTCTATGATGTGAGGTACATGTCTATAAATATTTAAGTTTTTTTGCTAAGCCAAACAAATATTAAAAATCGCCAAAGATAGCGGTGTTAAAAGGTGCGCGGCCACTCACTATTTTTTTATTTTTTTTTTACTTTTTACGTTTTGTTTTCAATTTATTGCGGGGTCTAAACAATTTATTATTTTTTGAAATATTTTTTATGATTTTTGTATTACGCTAAGTCTACATCTGTACATTTTTAGGGCATTTGACTATGTCAATCATTTTTTTTTATTTTTACCACTCCATCGGTTCTTTTCGCTATAGTACGAGCCGCACTCGTGAATTTAAGCTATCAGTCTTGATTTTTTACCATCATGCTAGCTCATTAAAGAATCCGTATTGAGACACTTCAAAGGTTTTTCATCTTAATAGACTTTGAAGTGTCTTTCTAAAAATTATTGTTTCTATATAGTTAACACTTGCAATAGAACATACAATTTTGTCTCTTAGGTTAAGTTAGTCAATCTTTCACAGGGTAAGCGACATAACATAAATTCAATCGGTCTGTAACGTTTCAGTCATTTTGCTGGAAAATAGTCTAATCTTTTACTAAATTATATTAGGACAACGAATAGGAGTGAAGGATTTGTTATTTTCAAAACACGAGAATGAGTCAAAGCATATTTGAACATTTGTAATGAGAACTCATAATCTTTATCTTACAACGATATTATTTCTTTCTGAAACAACTTTTTGATCTAGGCGGCTATAATTCAAAAGTTTCTTATAAACTTCCTATAATGATTTGCGAATCGTGAAATTCTTTATTGCGACAACTTTTATTTTATATCGTCTCAAACTTTTCTTATTTATTATATTTGATGTTCAAGACTTCAAATTTAGCAAATTCTGAATTTTTTATTTTATTTAAAAATTTATTTTTCCAACTCCTAGAATATCATTCGTAAATGTTTCATGTGGTCCTCCAACATGTATAGCTAACTATGGAAGAGTTCATTCATTGATCGTTGGAAGGTTGTGGGGGCATTAGTGAAACCAAAGGGCAATATCACAAACTTATAATGGTCATGCCTTGTTCAAAACTTTGTCTTGTGTTGGTCTTCATGAATCACTTCCATCTGGTGATAGTTCGGTTTCATTTCAATATTAACGAACTATTTGAAGTTAAATTTATAATTTTACAGTAATCTCTTAAAATTATTTCTTTAACTTTGTGAATTTTCGCGGGGACATATTGTAGATCATTTTTGAAAAATGTTACTTTCTAAAATAATCTTAATTGTTTGTTGTTTTTTTTCAGTTACTCCCGTTGGTTCAGTTTGCAGATCTTTGTGATCTCCTAATAGTTATTGACTAACTGAATAAATAGAGCATGTACGCTCGTTCTTAATGAGTGTCATTGTTACCTCACATGCCAAACTCTTTGGTGTGATAATACTTCAGAAAGCGGTTGAACTCATACAACAAAAAAACAGTAATGAGTATGAGCTTCACTTGTTAAACAACAATTTCATCTCTTAATTTTATATTTGAACTGTACAGTTTTATCTTTATATTTTACTTATGGGTCGACTTTTTAATGCTAATTCATTCTCATATCAAGTCAAACGAGAATGTTTCCTCGATAAGAAAAGTTATGTCATGCTGTATTTTCGCTCATTTTTTTATTATAAAGTATTTTATGTATATGAGAAAACAATAAAAATATTATATATTGTGAATGAAGGTTAATGAGTTATTAAATCTCATTACATTAATGCTTGCTGATGAAAGCACTATGATTGATGACATACTGGATGTTATTGTGGTGCTTCGATCGGTAAACACTAACATAATATAATTAACTAACTCCTTAAAAGACTTTATTAAGTGTTACTTCTTTATTGTTTTCTGATATGTGTAAGATGCGATTAACCAGTAAAACAATCATGGATGAACGTGCAATCTTTAAGTTTGCTATCATTTAAATCATCCTTAGTTTTCACTTTCTTTTCGAAGTTTATCAAAGGACTCATATAAGATGACTGAAGATAATATTTTTTTAGGGAGACATAGGCGAAGGTTTATGAGCTTAAGGGTTGAAGGGGGTTCTGGGGAAAATCAACTACATTGTTTGGCTCAGTATGAGAATATGTCACTCCTACTGGTTGCTCCCTTTAAGGTTTATAATCAGAGGACATCATGCAATTATGAATCATTTGGTACTATATTTCATACAATAATTCTTCTTCATCCTATCCTGCTATACCTCATGGGAGATACCTATCTTCTCTTAAAGTTTTTTAGAAGCTATACTAAAATAGAAGAAAAAATAACAATTTTTTTTTTTTTTTTTTTTTT